GACAGCAGAAACAGCCATGGATGACCAACCGAGAAAAGAAGAAAACAGTTCAAAATCTATTACAGCTTGTGAGGTGAACTTGCAGAGAGTAAAAAAACCTTGGGAGCAAGTGGGAGAATGCTTCCTTCTAGTCTCTCCTTCCAAGACCTGAAGAGGTCTCTTGCGGCCCCTTGTGAAAAAAACTTGTGACTCAGAGTAGAAGAATAGACAAAGGAAGGATATGTTTAAAAGTAGGGGTGCATCAATAGAGATTTTTAGGGTCGATACTAATAGCCAATTTTTAAGGACGCATATTGGCTGATTCCAATCCGATTTCCAATGCAGCTGCGTGCAGCTGGTAAGTCTGTTGTGGTGAAAGGGGAGGGAAGGAGCATGGGTGCGCAGATCAAGGTCCCTGTGGTGAGGGAGGAAGTGGAACTGGGGCTGGGCGCTGCCCAGTTGGGGCAGGGGACAGAGCTGCAGCTTGTCTGCGGGGCGCAGGAGGGGGGCTCTGGGAGGGCGTGGGGGGTGCGCCCCAGATTGGTGTGGGGTGTGGGCAGGGTGGGATGCAGCTGTGCGTTGGGGCTGGCACCGGGGCGGCAGTGGCGCTGGGAGAGGGCTACAGGGGAGAGCTGCAGCCACCCCAAAAATCACCATAGCCACCCCATAGCTCCCCTCCCAATGCTGCCACTGCCCGCTTTGTGCAGATCTGGGCGCACATGCCCCACCCCATGCCCTCCCAGACGAGTGGTGGGGACAGTGGTGGGAGCTGCTGGATGAGCCTCTGAAGGAGCTGTGTGCAGCAGCAGAAGCCACTCCCTCCCTCCCCCCTTCCAAGGGACCCTGGACAAGCAGCAGCTCCATCCTGTGCACCCCCCCCTCAATGCCTGAGCAGTGCCTGCTCCTGCCCCTGCCCCAGCCCCACACCTGCCTCACCACAGGGGGTTTGATCTGCACCCCCCCCATGCCCCTCCCAATCCCCCTCCCCTTTCCAGCTGCACACAGCTCTCCACACTGCCAGCTATGCTCCTCGCTGCCTACGTGCTATGCTGCAGCTGCATGCATGCATGGGCCACTTATTGGCCAAATTATCGGCCACATCAGGCCGATTTCCAATATAGATAAATTTCTTTATATTGGTGCCGATCCGATATTGAACCAATGTATTGGCGCACTTCTATTTAAAGGCTTTTATTTAGTTTTCATTTTTGTTGCACTAGAAGAGGTGGAGCTGTATCATACTACAGAATTTAATCAGTTCCTCAACGGGGGCATACCGAGACAGCACTTGCATTGAAACGAGTGAGCAGTACACCCAGGTGTCATGCCTAGCATTTCTTAATATGTGAAATTCAGTCTAAACTCGGCACACTGAAAATAATCAGTTAGTCCTGGCATAAGTGAAAGAGTTGGAGGGGGCTAGGCTTATTCAAACAAAACTCATGCATTAGAGGAGCCCTGACTACTCATTCTAGCAATTAAACATACAATAAATAAATAGTGTGTCTAGTCAGAGTATTCTGTTCATGCACTACCTTTAACATGTAGTTTATCAACTAAAAATGAAAAAGTGCCAATTCTTTCAAGCTATAAAATGAACAGTTCAAATCCTAGGTTCCTTACCCTAGGCCCATGATATTTTTTTTTAACATATTAAATACTTGATACAATTGAAGCATAGTTATATAATAAAAGCCTTGATCAAAGGTCAAAAGTCTTCCCTTAGTCTCTCTCAAAATGCTACTCAAACCTTATATAAAGTCTAGAATATAAAGACACAGACATGACTCTATGTATATCTCCCGCTACTGTGTCCTGGGGCAGCAGAGTTGAGCATGAATTTTCTTGCAGGAAGGAGGAGTGGGGAGAAGAGCGTGAGTGAGTGAGCGAGCGAAAGCAGTCTACCCTGGGATACTGGAGGACCTGGCCAAACACAATCACCGTGTGTGTGACATGCCACACACTCAAATTATAGCTTGATAGAAACCAGCTATAAAAATGTTCTACCTTTTTCAAGTAACAAATTTATGGCTAGTTGGCCATTTTTATTGGATAATAATTACTTTGCATGTGTAGCACATCTAAATTTATATGCAATTAACTGGTTAATTACACAAATTGATGTAACATGTCAGGGACCTTTGACTACTTCCTTGGAGTGATAGAAACAGGAAAGCTACCCAGGCTGCCTTATCCACAGAGTTAGTTACTTGACTGCAAGTTACTATATAAGGTTTTAGTAAGGAGTCTGAAGGCAATCCCAGGCAATTGGTCAGATATATAACAAGAAATATCTTTGGCTTTTACTTACGGTGGCGTGAGTATCTGAATGTATGCGGTCTGCAGCATGGACTATGTCTTGATAGCAGGGATATGAAAGGTTAAATGTTTAAAAGAGAAAGATATTTAATACCAGTAATGTATTGCCTGTTGACATTTAACGTGAGGTGCAGTCTGGCAGGGAAGGGAAGCACAGCGGTGCCTCAGGAACAGGAAGGCAGCCGGGAGGGAGGAGCGAGAAGGGGAGAAGTGAGGGAGCAGTAGTAATCATAGTTATTTTGCTCCTTCCCTCCCAGCACACTGGGTACTGCAGCTGTTAAACTGTTTATTGGACATAATTAGAGGAGGTTAAACAGAGATTTTTTAAACAATATTTACATCCCTACTTGATAGGGATTTGTAAGATATGTAACACAGTGGGAACCTGATTGGGTTCTTTAGGTGCTACTACAATGATGAAATGAAATTAATTCAATTCAATGAAATGAATTAAATGAAAAAGCAAAAGTGAATTAATAGTCAACACCCAAGATCGAATTGTCTCAGAGTACCTTTAGCAAATCAGCATTTAAAGGCAGCTATAAGGTATTTGGGGTCTTAGGTACTGAAAACCTGTGAATAGCTGTGCACCTTGACTTCTATGATCATATGACATGCTTACTGGCAGAGCTCTTTCAAAGGCCCGTACCTTTGAAAACTGGTCCTTTCAGCCCAAATATTGCAATTAGATTAACATAAGAACAGTAATACAAATCAGAGCAGTAATAGTTCTAGTCCAGTAGCATCGCCAAAGCAGCTAGTCAGCCCCACATACTTCAAAGAAAAATGCAAGAATCCTCATGACCAGATAGTCAGGGAATCCTTGCTGCTTCAAACATCTAGTGGTTAAAAGTCATGCTTTGAGGCACGAGAATTAATGTCTCATATGTTATTTGTTTTATATTATAATTGTGGCATCATCACTATCTCATACATGAAATGAGAGGAATGCCAGAAACACTCTACTTAAATAGTTCCCTGAGTAATCTAGATGCGGCTTTCAGGATTTACAGGTATTCTTTACTTTGTAGTTGTCTTAATCATCCACTTGGCTAGCAGTCATGGCAACAGAAGCACAGAAATTAGTAGACTTAAGCAAGTCTCTTGACTATTTATTCTCTTCTTCAATTCCAGTCCACTAACTCATCCTAGTCGCATCTCAAATATTATAACATAGGAAAGGGACAAGGTCAGCATAATATATTCAGAAAAGCGGGTGGGAAGGACAGACATGATAACTTTGCCAATCACAACACTCCTTTGAATTGCCATTATTCCTGCCTCATTCCTAACTACAATGTATTCTCTACATTCCTGTCTCATTCTGTAACTACAATGTATTTCAGCCCTTAAAACATTTCTTTAAGAGATTCACATAATAGGAACTCAAACCTAGAGAACAAAGGCATGAGATTCAATGACTAGAAGTGATGCCAGACAAATTCATACCAGAAAATTTTCATTTTTTAACAGAAGGCAATTAACCACTGTGACAACTACCAAAGGATGGAGTAGATTTTACATCCTTTGAGATATAGGTATATATTCTTAATTAAGGGAAGTGTGATATGCCTTTAACATCTACATTATTCAGTGAACAGCTGTGACAAAATAAAGGAGAGGCAAGTAGTGGACAGACCAATTCCTGGAAAGAATCAAGGCTCAAGTCCAACTCTTCTAGGAATCAGTCTGCTTACTACTTGTCTGTCCTCTTATACCCGACTTTCAGGTATAAGAGAAACAAGTAGCAAGGGACAGCAGGGCCAGAAATGAGGCACTGTAAGACAGACTGTGTGTCTGGCCTTTAGTTTAGGTAACTTCTGAAAACTCTGTAGAAGAGAGGGTGGCTGGGGGGAATTTAGCCTTGAGCACTTACCCTCAGTAGAGCTTTCATTAGGCAGGATGGTCTGCTTCTCAGGAGACAAAATAGGGTTTTTTTAAAGCAGATGATCAGTGGGTTTGGACTAGAGGAAAGACCTGGAAGCAACCCTTGGAGTTCTTGAATAAAGACCAAGTGTTTCTAAATGGAAAATTCCTCCTCAGGCAGAAGTTACCAGCTTGATGGATTAGCTGTATAGTTGGTCCAATAAAAGATATTATAAAAAACAAAATGAAAAGACTCCCCCAAAAATCCTTGCTTCTCACATATTTTCTGGACAATCACAGTTACAGCAACACTTCAACCCTATTACAACCTGATGAAGGAACTACTGAGTGAAATTCTATGGCCCATGTTATGCAGCAGTAATTCAGACTAGATTGTAACAGTCCTTGTTCACCTTCAACTCAACAAATCACAGATTTGTTCACTAGCCTGTGATTTTAGATAAAAGCTGACCTGAACTAAAAAAATGTTTTTTTCCCCTCAATGCCTTTGAATTCCTTATTTTCAGCCAAGTCTTTGGGGTATTTTTAACTGGAAGCCGGAAGTACCAGAAATTAAAAAAAAAAAAAAAAAGAAATAGTTTTATAAGATTTCCAGCTCCATTTTATATAACTATGACTGAGATAATTACAACATAAATTTTTGGCTGCTCCTCAAAATCAAGCTGAGCCTCCAATGTGCTTAAGGTTCAGTGAATCAGTAACAAGTATCTAGTCTCCCTGAGAAGCAATAAATGCCTTTAGAATATAACTGTTTAATATTTTTAAAAGCACAATTCAGTCCAGCAATGAATATGTTCCAACAGATTAATACTCACCCCAACAGTCTGCATCTCTGTCTATGCATAAGGAGCAACAGCATCCACAGACAGATGAGCAAAGTGCTGGATAATCCCTCATGCTTCATCACTCAGTTCTCTGAAAATTACATACCTAAAATGATATCCTATTCTCATCTTCTACACTCTAAGAATATTCCCCATTAAAAAAAAAAAAAATCAAGATGTCTCGAGTTCTCAACTCACATGCAGTCTTCATACAGAAACCCTGCAGTGCATACTGAAACATAGGTGTCCTATGCATGCCTAACTGACAAAGCAACTCCAGTACTTTAGATCTGGGGGGCAGCCTCAAGGTCAGACTCATTCCCTCCACACTTTAAATTTACTGTAACATTGAGCTATCTAAGACAACTGAGAATCAGAGAAAAATAGGGCTGGAAGGGCCCTCAGGAGGTCATCTAGTCCAGCATTTCTCAACCCTTGCGTCATGACCCAAAAGTGGATCAGAAGACTATATGAAAGGGTTGCGAACAAATTTTTAAAATGGATCAAGAAAACTTTAAAAATGCATTCTCTTTTAAAGGAGAAAAACGTGGGAAACCATAGTTTTTCCCTTGCAGGCTGGCAGAGCTCCAGCCCGCAAGGGGCTGCTTGGGTCCCCCCCACCACTCCCATCCCACACACTGTGGGGCTGGGGCCTGGATGAGGGAGGCAGTGGGTCAGGAGTGCAGGGAACTGGGTTGGGATTGGCCATCCATGTTTACAAATGGGTCCTGGTACGAAAAAAAGTTGAGAACCACTGATCTACTCCAACCCCTTTCTCAAAGCAGGACTGTCCCCAACTGTCTCATCCCAGCCAAGGCTTTATCAACCCAGGTCTTAAAAACCTCGAAGAATGGAAGTTATAATATTGCTTTCAATAGCCTTTCATTAAAATCCACTTCACTGAAGACTTCACCAGGTCTACACACAGTTGGTGCAGTCAGTTGTACTGGATACATCTTAGTTTTAGTAAACTGAACAGCAAGATGCTGGAATGGGAACTGTACCTGAGGTATGTGAAGGGGTTTGTTCCTGATGAAAAGGCTGTATTAAACCTCTATACCACTGGTTGTCAGTCAGGATGCCACGGTGCCCTAAGGCGCCTTGAGATCCTTTCACAGGTGCCAAAGCACGCCGGGGTACCTTGAGATGTTTTCATGGGTCCCACACATTGTTTGCTGCACAAACCATGTACCAGTGCTTTGTTTGTGAGAGTCTTCCTCCCCGCTTACCCCAAGACCATAACACAACCACACCAAGCAGCATCAGTATTTTTTTGGCTGATCTGTTCGCTTATTTGCAATGGGCTGGAAATTCATTCATTCATTCATTCATTCTGCACTTCTCACCTGGGGGGGGCTGCAGCACATGAAGGGGCTGCCTTGACAACCTTTCCGGGGTGCTGCATACAGAAGGGGGCTCACAAGATAAACCCAGAGGTTTCACCTGGGCACCCGCAGCATGGAAAACCCTCCACCCTGCCACGGTCTCCACAAGTGCTTGGCCAGGCAGGGCGGGCTCTGGCGGAGACGAGGCGGCGGCGCCTGGGGGGGGCTGCGCCTCCGGTCCGGCCGCGCGCCAGGGGCTCCTTCCCAGCTCGCTACAGGTGCGGGCAGGCGGGGAAGGCCTCCTCCCACGGCTCCCCGCTCAGCCCCGCTGCTGGCAGGCGCGCGGCTCTTCCCCGGG